CCCCACAATTCCCCCCCCCTTACAACTAAAATTCCTATTTATATTTCAGAAAGGCTTGTTTGTAACTGACATGAACCAGTGGAACGAAATTATTTATTAAAATTAGTTTCCAAGAATTAGAAATTCATTCATTATTTAGCAGAAACATAAAATATACTTTTTTAATGAAAAAATGCTAGACCTTGTTAACGACAATTCTTGAGAATAATAATGAATATATATTTTCACTAAACACCACTGTAGCCATTGCTCACACTAATTATTTACAAACACTTCAGTGAATTTATCTGAAAGGGCATGTAGCGTTATTTTAAGGTACCCTCTTACTGAGTGGCATGTCTGATTCACAAGGGTAGTCTGTGAATGTGTATCAAATTAGAAATATCTATGTCTCAATTACTATGAATTCTGTTAGATCAAATAGTTTAAATTAAATATTAAGGGGGTAACACCGTCAGGTTACAAAGAAAAAGAATTTGAAATTTGAGTTTGTGGCAAAAACTCAAATCCATTAGTAAAGATAGAATGAACTGATGTGTAGTTAGCATGAGCAAATTGTTTGCTTAGGCTATGGTTGATAAAGGCAATGTCCCAAAACTTTCACAAAGACGATAAATCTATTTGAAAAGATATGTATTAGATAGAAAACATCGTATTATACCTAGATATAGTTAGATGGATATATGCTAAGTATACAGAAATTTTATCGAAATAGGTTTTAGAGGATTTTCTGACATTTCTGTACATACATATAAATATTGTAAAATCTATATGGACATGGTAATATATATATTAAAAAGCGATTCTTACCGTAACTGTAAGTGACCCTTTAAAGAGTTTCATTAGTGATTCACAACATAAAAATATCACTTTGGCCTAGCTGACATATGTCAGATTTTATATAAAATATTTAATAGTATTTAATTGAGATGTTAAGGGCACAAATTGTAAATTATTTAAAACGTTCTTTTAAAAAATCCTCACTTAAAACTCGGCAATATTCCCTTTAACAAAAATATTATATAAGCTTGATTCATGGCATTTATTGCATATGACGTAATTTATAAATAGAACCATTCATGAATTTGAGAAACCACTACTCACTGCTGCAGTAAGCACACAGGAAATTCCATCCCCCCCCCCTAACAGGTCATGCCCCCCCACCTCATTATCAGGCTCTATATACCGGTGTGGTGGTTCTGGGCCATGTGTAAGATATGAGAGAATAGAAAAAAAATACAAACTATCATATTGTGATATTTAAGCAAAAATAACAAAACGGGGAGGGGGATTTTTACCTACACCCCCCCCCCCGTTTCCCATCTTTACCTCAACGAATTATTTATCAATTACAAGATTATTGTAATCTTTTTAAATTCATAACAATTTGAATTAACTGACCTTACATGAATATCTTCCCTCGTTATTTTCCTGGATATTTTTTAGATGTAGGGTCCACACACCCACCCTTCCTTCTCCTTCACTCTTCTCAAACAACACTTCTTTCCAATCAGCCTGGATCTCATGCCCCCCTGGAACCCCTTGGACACTACCCCCTACCCCTGCACCTTGAGGCTGAAGCTGTATCTCCCGAAGCAGGTGTTCTGTATCCATATCTCTGTATCTAGATCATCATTTTATAAATCATTTCTCTGCTCTTTTGAAAGTATCAGACATAATAATGGTTAATCATTGATTACAATTTTCGAATTTACATTTTATAAATGTTATTTTTTTTTAACTTTAAATATCATCCGTAAATATGTACGATTCCTTAGTGAAGAGTAAACCCATTGAAGTGTTGGTACATGTTGTAGTTGCTCCTCAGAAAACTTTACGCGGCATTCCACAGATATGTCGTCTTCAGGCTGAAACAAAATGGCGGATTAGAATTGTAAAACAAGTTTTTAAGGTGTAGGTATCTCCATCAAAGTCCAGCTTTTGGCACCTAATTCATAGTTTTCGTCCAGTTTCGTTTCTTTCATATTTGAAGAAATTCCAAGAATTGAAAACATCTTGTACAAAAACAACCTCCGAAAAGTAAATAAGGGAATTAAACAACGAAGTTTAAGATCTTTCAAAGTTTCAAACTTATGAAATATTAATCTTATCTTCTGAAGATTAGATTCTTTTGCTAAATCTGTTGTCATGATTAATACATGGGTCGCATAAAGAAAATATTCATAAAATTAGAATTTTTTTAAATGTCGATCATTTTGTGTAATTCAGTTATCTTAATATTTTTTTATTAATTTGAGATGAAAATTATTAGGATAAGATTAAATTCCTTCATTGGAATCTGAAATCGGATCTCAAGAATAATCTTTAAACTAATTTCATAATGTATTTAATCAAATTGCGGCCGGCTCGGCTTTTCAGTAGAAAAAAGGTGCATTCATGAAACATTGAAATCATTTAAATGTGAAGCTCAATAAGTTTATACGTTTTATTCTTTAAGAGTTCGCTTCAGTTGGCAAAGGAATTGAGTCTTTGTCACAAACTCTGATTTTCTAATCACTATATTTTCAGAACCAAATGTTGTAGACCTTAGATATTTCGAACTATGAATTCTGTTAAATCAAATAATCTGAGTTTGAAATATCAAAGGCTTACAACATTCGCTAAAAGATAAAAGGGTTTTAATATTTGAGTTGGTGGCAAAGACTCAATTCCTTCACAAAATTTAGTTTGTTAGCTTTCAAAATTCAGTTAGTTTAATTACAAACTGTATTTAGTTTCAGTTAGATAATTTGCAAATTTTATTAAGTAAGTATCTAAACCTAAAAATTTTAGTCATTTCACATTTACTATCTTTAGTGAGAACAATTAAAAAGCTCAATTAGTTCACTTAAAAACTTCACTTACTACACTAAGGAACTTCAATCAGTTCACTTACACACTTCAGTTAGTTCATTTACACACTTCAGTTAGTTCACTTACACACTTCAGTTAGTTCATTTACACACTTTAGTTAATTCACTTACAAACTTCAGTTAGTTCATTTACAAACTTTAGTTAGCTCACTTACACACTTCAGTTAGTTCATTTACACACTTCAGTTAGTTCACTTACACACTTCAGTTAGTTCATTTACACACTTTAGATAATTCATTTACACACTTCAGTTAGTTCATTTACACACTTCAGATAGTTCATTTACAAACTTCAGTTAGTTCATTTACACACTTCAGTTAGTTCATTTACACACTTCTGTTAGTTCACTTACACACTTCAGTCAGTTCACTTACACACTTCAGCTAGTTCATTTACAAACTTCAGTTAGTTCATTTACAAACTTCAGTTAGTTCATTTACAAACTTCAGTTAGTTCATTTACACACTTCAGTTAGTTCGTTTACAAACTTCAGTTAGTTCATTTACACACTTCAGTTAGTTCATTTACACACTTTAGTTAGTTCACTTACACACTTCAGTTAATTTACTTTAACGCTTTAGTTAGTTTTCTAACAAATTCTGATAGCACATTTACAATTTAAGATGAAGGAAATTTGTAAAATTAATTTAATAGGTTCATAAGAATAATTTGTTGAATTCTTAAAATTATCCTTATTCCTCTAATACATACCATTATTCAAGTATTACATTAATTTATTTAATTTTTAATGAATGAATGAAAAATATGAATACTTGGTGTAATGTTAAAATAAAAGTGAAATCATCTTACTATAATTTAAGTTTATCGGAGAATTTTAGGTGACACTGACATGATATCTGTGCATTACATTCAATATATTTTTTTTTTTTTTCCTATTTATAACTAGTAAAAAAAAACTTAATTTCGTCTCTGGTTTTTAAAACTAAGTTTAGGTGAGGAATTCATATTTAAAAATCGTCAAAATAAATCAAAATATCCGTCTTGAAGCACTGAGTGCAGAAACGTTACCAATCCCTTAAAAATTATCAAATTATAAGTAAATAAACTTTTTTTTGATAGATATTTTTCCAATTACCAAAAAACTAGCTTTTAGCATAAATCAAACAAATTTTGTAATATCAAACAATGGATAAACAGATATTATTAATTTTTCGGAACACTCCCTTTAATATTCATCTTTTAAACCCCATATCAACAGGTTTAATAAAAAAAATCAAATCAACCTTCAACCTTTTTTTTAAATCGTTAGTTACTGAATGACTTCAGATTTTTGAAATTTTTTGTTTAAAAGTGTTGCATCTAATTAGCAACTGTACAATTAGTTTCACCCTTATCTTAAACTCTTACTTTAGCTTTGATGAGCGAAGGAGAAGAGAGGATGGGATTTAAGGCGCGTGCGCTCAGCATAGAATTTAATTGTGGTGCGCAGGTGCAGGTCAGCAGGCTGCAGGCATACACTAAACTCCTGGGGATAATAATAAATAAGAAAGATTTAATATATAAAATAATCTAAACTGCAAGAATCAGAAAACTGTGGAATATGAAGACGACCTAAAATCAATAATTAAGTGTATTTGATGTTGTTACAAAGCAAATAGTTATACTAGTTTCTTATTAAATCACTTATTAAGTGAAATGGGTCTGCTTACACTGAACACATGCGGTGTCTCAGGTTCCCCGGGCTTTTTTAAGACGTAACTCATGGTATAAAAGTCGTCTTCCTGTTTCATAGTTTTTTGGTGATAGATGTAAAATTATTTAATTTGGTTCCATTGTCATTTCAATTTTCTGAGGTTGAAAATAATGAACATCATGAAGTGAGATTCAACTTTATATATGTATACAAATATAAGATAATTAATTCTTATAATGTAAAACCTCAAAATTTGATGAAGTTATCTTTCAGCAATATTTGATTTCAATATTGCTAAATGTTAAAATAATAGTATTACGTCAGCTGTAATATTAAAGTTTATTTTTAGCGTGGGTTCAGCATATTTACAATATATATACTTTATTATGATATATGTATTAGTTGTATTACGTATATAATAAATAGTAGGATTGGTATAGTGTTGCAGTATATTTATAAACGTAAGCAGATATATGAATAATGATTAAGGTGTTTATTTCTTCACTATAGGAGTAATTAAAAAATTTAAAACAATTAAATTTTTGATTATTTTCTAACAGAAAATGTAAAACTGAATACTCGCCACAAATATGAAAGTTTTAATTTCTAAGTCTTTTCAACATGATGGTGTATTTAGTATTTCAAACTTTAACTCTTTGATCTCGTTAAATTCATCCCCAGTTTCCAAATCAAAATTTGAGGCGAATCGGTCTAGGGGTCCATAAGTTATGATCGGACATACAAACAAACAAACAAACAAAGTATATATTATAGATAAATAGAAAAAAAAGAAAAAAATGTGGCGAATAATATATACAATTTATGTGACAGAAATGAAAACAGCGCAAAGCGTTTTAATGTTTTAATAATTTTGTTATTTCTTAGAATTAGTGCAGTGGGCAGACGAGTCAGGGCAAATATAATGTAATTCAGGATGAATTTCAATAAAAATATGATTTTAGAAATTAGATTTTTCATTCATGAAATATAACTGAGAAAAATGTTCAACATTCCCTTTAAATTGACAAGATTAAGTGTAAACGTTCAACATTCCCTTTAAATTGACAAGATTAAGTGTAAACGTTCAACATTCCCTTTAAATTGACAA